CACAGGAAAGTGGCCGTCTAGGGCAGGAGAGCTGCCAGCCTGGCCACCCAGGAGCAGGTGTGCATGAGAATCAAGGGGGTCCACTGAGACCCCCGACCCTGGGACCTGAGCTTACATTGGCCGTCCTGTGTCAGACCAAAGGTCCATCTAGCCCAGTAGCCTGTCTGCCGACAGTGGCCAACCCTAGGGACCCTGGAGGGGATGGACCTAAGACAGTGACCAAGCCATTTGTCTCGTGCCATCCCTCTCCAGCCTTGCACAAACTTTGGGCAGGGACACCACTCCTACCCCCTGGCTAATACCACTCCATGGACCCAACCTCTATGACTTGATCTCACTTCCCTTTAAACTCTGTTCTAGTTGTAGCCTTCACAGCCTCCTGCAGCAAGGAGTTCCACAGGTTGACTCTTTGCTTTGTGAAGAACAACTTTCTGTTTCTAGTTTGAAGCCTGCTACCCATTCCTTTCCTTTGGTGTCCTCTAGTCCTTCTTTATGGGAACTAATGAAGAACTTTTCTGTATGTACCCTCTCCACCCACCTCCTGCTTTTAGAGACCTCTATCCTGTCCCCCCTCCGTCTCCTCTTTTCTAAGCTGAAAAGTCCCAGTCTCTTTAGCCTCTCTTCATATGGGACCTGTTCCCAACCCCTGATCATTTTAGTTGCCCTTCCCTCTCCCAGCCTCTCTCTTCCCCTCTCCCACCTCCTTTTCCCAGTCTCCCCCAGTTTTGTTCAATAAAGACAGATTCCATTTTGGAAGACACGTTATCTTTATTTTGTACATCAAGAAGAGGGCCTAGGGAAGGGTAAGTGGAAGGAGGTGAGGGAGGAATGGGGTACAAGCCCCCGATGGGGAGGACTGGGCTGGCTCTGCGGGCTTCTGGGGGTGGAAGCTCTCCTGCAGCCCCTCAATTGCCCCCTCTCCCCAGATGGCAGCCTGCGGCAAGTGCAGCCGGGCTGATGGCCGAGTGGTGTGATGTGCCCAGTGTGGGCACTCCGGGCAATCCAAGCCAGGACTGCTTTGCAAGCGGGGCACCCCTGAGAACTGTCTGTCCGGGGTGGGGGTCGGGACCCTTTAAGCACAGCCCTCGGCTAGCCTGAGAAAGCATCTCCACGCTCTAAGTTCTTCTCTGATGCCCTGCCGGCACTGCTTCCGGCCAGCCTTAAGCCCGGTTCAGGGTCCACTTAATGTGGACATGCAAGTTCGAATTAGCAAAACGCTAATTTGAACTAGTTTTTTAGTCTGGATCCGTTAGTTCAAATTAGCTTAGTTCGAATTAACTAATTCGAACTAAGTTAGTTCGAATTAACGTTGTAGTGTAGACATACCCTCAGGGAGCCTACAGGCAGATCAAACTAATGGACTGTGGATCAAACTAATCCATCTGCAAAGCATGGATATGTGAAGGTGACCCTGACCTGGCCTCGCTGGGACAGAGTATGGACGAAACCTGCCAGCATGAAGTGTGTTTCTATGTGTGACCATAAAGCGACCTGCTTCTCTGTCTCTTTAAATATACCATTGGGCTTCATAATCCCAACAGACTGAGAACAATGGGGAGGGAGACTGATCTTTTTCCGTCACATGGATCATCCACTTGATTTGACCTTGGGTGAACCTTGATGCTTGTTGATGCGATGAAAGCAGCGAGATGGACAGGACTGGAGTACAAAGGAAACATGAATCATGCATTCCCATGTCTGTTGTGCTGGCTTCAGTTTACACCCTGGGCTACTTTTAGAGGTGCCTTTTCCTGGGAATTGCACTCAACGCAGAGATAACTCAGTCTGGAGAAAACTGCCGACCTGTGGTAAGAGGTTCCTCCTTTCCTCCCTGGAAGAGCTGGGACTGAATTAAATGCACTGAGTTTCCTCCCTTTTACTTAGCCTTAGCAAATCCTAACAACCCCTTTGCTAATACTTCTTAGCCACTGAAGGGGAACATGAAAATATCAAACAGTCCCCTTCCCACCAGGGCTGAGGAAGGCATGTCAGCTGTTGGGGTTTAAAAAAAAGTTCGCTCAGTTATGCCTGCAGAAACAACTTACTTTGAACCAGGCAGCTCTTCCTTTTTGGCAATGTTGCCCCGGCTATTGCGTTCACGTCACTCGTAATATTCTGGCTGTGCTGAAAGCCTCGGCATGTCTGTCATTCTAGCTTCAAATGCAAGAAAAGCAGGAGCCAGAGCAAGGGGACTGAAATTTTACCTTCTAACAGGACGAAGTGGAGGCAACGTTGGTAACCTTGGAAAAAAAGGTAAGAATCTTTGATACTACTGCTGTGTCTAACTACAATAAAGTGACCATAAAGGATATACTGTTGGCATTTGCTTACAATGCAAAGGTAGCAATTGCTTACAAAGTTCACTAAAGAGGTTCTGGCAGACCATAGACACAGCCCACCTTGTGTCCATACATGTGTCCGTATCTGAAACTCTGTTTTAAATTCTGAGCTCTGTAATAAATTTCAGAACTTGCAGCTTTGCTCTCTATGGCTTGCTAGTATGAGTATAAGGACTTAACAGGTAATTTGCTGATCTGTTTCAAAATAACTTATATAAATGGCATCACCGTTAAATTGACAAATTGAAAATAGCTAGATTTGCTCAATAGGTTAAAGGAAATGCCTTCTTGCCTCTCATTTTTACCAAAGTGTTTTCACTGGCATAATGGAATAGCCATAAACATTTCTCTTCTTAAATGTGGTCACACACTGTAGGAAGTAAAGAATTTTAACTATACCTTTTCTGTTTGAGAAGTTGCATTTTTCCTCTTCCAACTGTACAACGTTGCTCCTCTGTAGCTGGTACAATGGTTTTGGAATAAAATATTCAGATTAAAATAGTATAAGAAAATGGGCATGTTTAGAAACCTTCCATCCGCCTTCACTTTATAAATAATTTGTTTTGTCAGCACCAAACAACATAGGATGGTGTCATTTTTACGCTCTGGCTGTTTGTCTTCTGGCATGCAAAGACTAGACAGAATGGGCTATGTCTACATTGGCAAGATTTTGCGCAAATACTTTTAACGCAAGAGTTTTTGCGTTAAAGTATTTGCGCAAGAGAGCGTCTACACTGACATGTGCTTTTGCGCAAAAGCATCCGTGCCAGTGTAGACGCTCTCTTGCACAAGAAAGCTCCAGTGACCATTTTAGCCATAGGGCTTTCTTGCACAAGAAACCCCTGCTGAGCATGCACACTGCCCTCTTGTGCAAGAGCTCCTGTGCAAGAGGGCTTACACCTGTTAAAAAAGAGCATAGCTCTTGTGCAAGGAGCCCTCTCTTACTACACCGTACTGTAAATCTTCTTCCGCAAGAGAGGGTGGGAAGTGTGGATGCTCTGCGGATTCTTGTGCAAGATTGCGCAAGAACTACCCGCCAGTGTAGACAGGCAGCATGTTTTTGAGCAAAAGCGGCCGCTTTGGCACAAAATCGCGCCCATGTAGACACAGCCAATGTTAGTTTACTTGTTACTGCTCTGTATTGGCTCTTGCTCATGGTCAAATATTGGAATAAATTGCCAAGGGAGGTGGTGGAATCTCCCTCTCTGGAGATATTTAAGAACAGGTTAGATAGACATCTGTCAGGGATGGTGTAGACGGAGCTTGGTCCTGCCTTGAGGGTGGGGGGCTGGACTCGATGACCTCTCAAGGTCCCTTCCAGTCCTATAGACCTTTAATTATTTGTGTTGCTCTTCTCTGGTCCTTGTCCAATTTCTCCACATCTTTCCTGAAATGTGACACTGGACACAGTACTCTGAGGCGTAATCAGCGCAGAGCAGAGCGGAAGAATGACTTCTCGTGTCTTGCTCACAACACTCTTGTTCATGCTTCCCAGGATGATGTTGGCTTTTTTTGCAACAGTGACACTGTGGTTTCATATTTAGCTTGTGGTCCATTACGACCCCTAGATTCCTTTCTGCCGTTCTCCTTCCTAGACAGTCACTTCCCATTCTGTTTGTGTGAAACGGATTGTTCCTCCCTAAGTGGAGCACTTTGCATTTGTCTTTAAACTTCATCCTGTTTACCTCAGACCATTTCTCCAGTTTGCTGAGATCATTTTGAATTATGCCCCTATCCTCCAAAGCAGTTGCAACCCCTCCCAGCCTGGGAGCATCTGCAGACTTTATACACATAGGCTGTGTCTAGACTGGCAAGTTTTTCTGCAAAATCATCTGCTTTTGTGGAAAAACTTGCCAGCTGTCTACACTGGCCACTTGAATTTCTGCAAAAGCACTGACCATCTTGTTGCCGGCACACAGTGCCCGAGGGGGGGGCAACAGATGGGTTTGTTGCCCGGTGTGCCCGCTCCAATAAACACACCAGTGTGGAGAAGCAAAAAAAAGTTTATTTGAATGCTCAAATAGGAGACTAGACCTCAGATCAAGCACCCCAACGGAAGCAGTTTTCCCTCCTTATATACCCAAGTTGTTTACTTGCAGGAATATAGTGAACTGTAGCAAGTTTCCCACGCTGGGACATGCTGCCAGCCCCCCTCCTCCTCCCTTCTACAGAAACACATCTGAATTCTTCTTCTATACCCCTGATAGTAACTAGGCAACTTCAAGGTCTTGCTGTTCCCAGCTGTTAGCGAGCTAGAGAAAAGTTATGTCAGGGGAGGGAAGGGGCTTTTAGGGTGCTTGGGCCTAGAGCGGGGACGCTTCATCGATCCTTGTGATCTTCCATTCCCCCGAGTTACCTAGGATCATGCCCAGTGACCCCAACAATCTCATGTAAGATCGTCAGTGCTTTTGCGGAAATACTATGCTGCTCCCATTCGGGCAAAAGTCTTTTTCCGAAAAACTTTTGCGCAAAAGGGCCAGTGTAGACAGCAGAGATTTGTTTTCCGCAAAAAAGCCCCTTCCGCAAAAAGTGCTTTTCCGGAAAAGTGTCCTGCCAATCTAGACGCGCTTTTCCGAAAATGCTTTTAATGGAAAACGTTTCCGTTAAAAGCATTTCCGGAAAATCATGCCAGTGTAGACGTAGCCATACTTTCTAACACAGGGCTTGTTATCTTAGCAAAGGAAGCTATCAGATTGGCTTGACATGGTTTGTTCTTGACAAATCCATGCTGGCTATTACCTATCACCTTATTATCTTGCAGATGTTTGCAGAGGGATTCCTTAGTTATTTGTCAACTGCCCTGTCCGTGGCAGCTATCAATGGCCAGCCGATGTGTCTAGCACCCAGCCCCCTCTGAGGTGGAGGCTCCTGCAGTGTGACGCGCCAGAAGAGCTATATTTTGAATTGTGCCACACACACTGTACCCTGAATTAGATTTGGAATGGCTCTGCCTACCCTGCATTTCTGTAACATCGTTCTGTTTCGGTTCCCTCCAGATGTCCGGTGGGATTTTCTCTCCTTTGGAAAACCTCTACGACCTGGATAATGCCCACTGCCACCCACTGGTGTGCTTCCTCTGTCACGAGCAGTACGAGCACCCCTGCCTCCTCGACTGTTACCACAACTTCTGTGCCAGCTGCCTGCGCGGCCGGGCTATCGACAGGCGCCTCACCTGCCCTCCCTGGCTATCGACAGCCGCCTCACCTGCCCTCTCTGCGGGTAAGAACGTCCAAGCCGCGCTGCCCACAGCACAGAAAGTCGGTGACTCGCCCGTAAAAGCTCTCCCCAGCCTGACCAGTGCCCAGGCTGTGCAGGAACACGGGCAGAGCGTGCCGACATGAATACATTTCACACCTGTCAGAGGAAGAGGACCCCTGAGTGTAGCTAGCCAAATGCAGAACAGACACCCACCTCTGAAAGCTAGGCCCAAAGAGAAAGAGGGGCACTTCCCTCCTGCTCTCAGGCCGAATGCCTGCGGGGTGCCCTGCTGGGCAAGGTTACTGACATTGGCTCATGTACCTGGGTGATGCACTCCAAGCCTGGCACAGGAGCCGGGAACACCCCTGACAGGAAGATGGCTGCTGCAGTGCGGCCGCTCCATGGGTGAGTGGGGGTCATCCCATTCATTTCGCTGAGAGCGGGACCAGCCCCCCAGCGGATGCCTGTTATGAGAGCCTGGGTAAGGGTGGGGGCGGGGCTACATGTGGACCAGCATTGAATCAGCTTAGCTGGTTTCCACGCACACCTCTTCTGATCTGGAGACGCTGAGGGCGGAATGAACGTGTCTTGTCTGGGTGTCATTTAAACTGAGGCCTCCCACAGAACAGCGGCTCTCCTGCTGCACAAGAGGAGTGGCCGGGCACTGGCTTGCAGGGATATAACAAAAGTGTGAATTAAAACTTCCTTTGGTGCTCCCTTGTGCCTCGGCTGGCTCCTAGCCTGCTCCGGGCCCGTTGAGTGTCCTCAGACGCTGAGTATTCCCTTGCTACCGCGGTGCAAGCAGGAGCCCAGGGTATCGCCTCCTTGCCTGGCTCTCTGAGGGAGACTTGCTCAGCACTTGCAGTCTTTGGGTTTGGCACTAGCCCCTTGTAGTTCTTCAGGCTTCGCTGTAAGTTGCAGGAAACTCAGCACCCCCGCTGGGAAGCAAGCACTGGGTTCTGGCCACACTGCCCGGAATGAGAAGAGCTAGTGTGCTGCTGAATGGCCAGTCAGCTCTCACTCACTCTGTCCAGCCCCACCCACTCAGGCGGTTAGAGGGGGTAACCAAATCCTGCCCTCAACCAAAATGTCTGGTAGGTGGAGAGGGGGAATCACGGTTTACGGGGGAATACACTGTGAATGCGCTACAGCTGCATCGCCTGTAGACAGACAGGCAGACAAAGCGCCTCGCAGCCAGCTAGTGGCTTGCCCTTACAAGTCGGGTCCCAGAGTCTGAAAACCCCCGATCTACATGGAACTTCAGTGCCTCACGTTCTCACGAGTACGCTTCCGATAGCAGAACGGTGGGAAATCTACCTTTGGACTCGGACTGCTCCCATGCCCCTCTGCTTTCTGAGCAGGGAGTCTGCTTTCGCTGCGCAGGCAGGAACCGACAACAGCACGCAGGGCGCTGTGTTCCAAAAAAGGAACGAGACTAGCGGGGCAGCTGATTGTCATTTATTCTCGTGAGTAGGGTGCTCTGTATCAGGCCAATTATAGGTGCCACGGAGTTTTACTGGAGGGCTGGCAAAGGCAGCGCGGAAGCCTAGCGGCTCTGAAATGTGTCTTTAGAGCTGTCCACAAAGCAGTGGAAGAGGTTAGCGTTGTCCCTTGCTGGATTTCCCCTCTGATGTAGACAGATCTCTCGGGACAGGTTTTCCAGAAGGGAAATAGAGATCTGATGGACATCCAGTGAGCTTTACAGTTATGACTCTTCTTTTTAGCTGAACACAAATTACAAAGATGAAAATACCCCCCCCACACACCGCCCCCCCCACGGTTTTGATAAAGCAGCGTGGGAAAGACGCCAAGCAATGCCTACAAGTTTGCACAGCTAGTCCACAGCCTAGCACACACTCTTCTCTAGCCACAGCTCTTGTCTTTAAGCAGTTAAAAAACCATCACCGTTCTGGGACACTCATTAAAATAAAGCTCACGGTACTAAGGAGCATCCCGTCACCAACCTGTCTGGGCATCTTGCAGGCAGCACCATTGTCCTGGCAGCTGCTGTGGGAGGCAGGGCAGGGCTTTCACCCCCTCCCCCTTGTAAGAATGAGACCTGAGGCACAGAAAAACTAAGTGACTTGTCCAGGGTCACACAGGCTGTCTGTGGCAGAGAAGGGAACTGCTCCCAGCTCTCCTGAGTTCCAAGTCCTGGGCCAGTCTTCCTGTCCAATTGTCCCATGTGCCTTATTTACTTAGAAGCCGGAGCACCACTGACTTCCACCGAGATTTAGGCTTCAAGTCACGTAAGAACTTTTGAATTGTTTCCCCCGGCTCTCAGACGTGTGCCCAGGGCGGGTCAGGCTGCTTAGTGGGAAAGCCCCGGGGAAGCTGTGCCTAGCTGCCCTAGCACAGGGCCTGTCTCACCGCATTGGAGGGCCGTGGCATCGTGCTGCCTTTGTGCCTCTGGAATCCGAGGGTCTAATCACAATGGGCTCACAGGGGAACAGCTGCCTCGCACACGAGTGCTACTTATAGCGCCACAAGAATTCAGGAGAGCTCCCTCCCCTCCGCACGCCGGCCAGGGCAGGGGAGGCACCGGGGCACTTCCCACACGCGGCCCCACAAGCCATCACCCCGAGGAATCACTGCAGCCCCGAGGCCTGATCTTGCAAGATGCTGAGCTCTCTGGCCTCCAGCCAGCAAAGCACCCACATGCTTTGGAACAGCCTCCCTGGCGTCCATGCTCCGCACCGAGCAGGCCTGAGCCCCTGGGTGGGGCAGTCTCCTGACCAGAAAGTGACCCTGGCACTGGCGCCCGAGTGGTGGGGGAAGGGCCGGGGGACACCTGCCCGGGCGGTGTCACTCAGGGGTTTGCTTTCTCTCTCTGTACTAAACAAAACTTCTCCTGCGGGACGACAGAGCGACGCCATCACGTCACCCTGCATCCCGCCTGCCTCAACCCTCCCTCCCGGAGCAGCCTCCCTCCCCTGTGCTCCGGGAGGGTGGCTGAAGCCAGGAGGCAC